ATGTGTGTGTGTGTGTGTGTGTGTGTGATTTTTTAAAATGTAATTTAATTACACACGTACTACACACATACTTAATAGATTTAATTATTATACATTTTTTTTATTTTTTATTTTAAAATGTATATGTAATTAAACACTTTTTATTTTTTATTATTTAAATGTAATACAATTATTTATTATTAATTATTTATTATCATTTTTATAATTAATTATTTGTAATTATTGTTTTATTTTTACCTTTTTATTTAATCAAACACTTTATATATTCTACATGTGGCTCATTCTAAAAATCTATAAAAATTCATATTAATTAATACTATTAATAATCAATGGATTTAATTAATATTTTGTTGTTGTTGTTCAAATTTTATTTGAATGTTTTTAGGAGGCCCTAAATAAAATGTAATTTCTTGTTCCCCAATAGGCATTCTTCAGGGTGAAACGGCAAAGCCATCTGTCCCTGTGCAGATACTGCTGCAACTGCTGCCGCAACAAAGGCTGTGGATACTGCTGCAAATTCTGATCCTGCGGGCGTTTTACCGAGTCCCATGTGCTCAGGAAAAGAGTTTCTTTGAAACATTAACTTATTTGGACTTTTGTCTTCCAAAACCCTGCTGAAATGATTTTCCCTGTCGCACCATGTTGTTTGAAACGGGTATAAATGCAGGCTCTGTGTCCTCGCATATACTGCTTTGTAAAAGTTGCAGCTACTGAAATTTAACAATATGAGAACTCACCTACTTTTGTTAACGCTTTCATGATTTTGTATATTTTATACATGTATATATTTTTATGCCTATATGTACAATGATTGTTTAGTAAATGGAAAGCTTATGGATATTTGTAATAAAATGATTTAACATTTGAACTGTGTTGTTATTTAAGGTCAGTCAGTGGTGAATCTCTAGGGGGCCCTAAACACACACACACACACACACACACACTGATATCAGGCAGAAATGCTGTTTATGCACCTCAGAGACTATCAGAGCCTACAGCATTAATATTATCATCATCATATAGCTAATACTGTTATTATATATAATATAATAATATTAATGTTTAATTATTAGGTTTTGATTTCTTATTTATTAGGTTTTTAACTCTTAATTAAAATGGAATATTAATAGAAATACTAATTAATATTATTTTTTATTATAAGTGTGTGTGTGTGTGTGTGAAGGTCGGTGGGTATAAGAAATATTATTATTAATAGTACCTTTTAAATTAATTATTAATTTAAATTCTAATTAAGAACTTTTTTTTCTATATTTTACATATGCATACACATATCAAGTATAAGAAATAATATTAATTAATATTATTATTAATAATTAAACACTGTATTTTATATATTGACACACACACACACTCACTCAAACACACACACACACACTCACTCAAACACACACACACTCAAACACACACACACACACTCACACACGGTTCAGACAGCACAGCTGGGGAGGGTGCAGGACTGAGGGCGAATGGCACAGGGCAGGGCTCCTTACAGCATGTGCTCTGGGTCTCATATCTTATTAGACGAGACTGCAGCTTCACAAAGCCACGGTCTCGCTCAAGGGCCTTACGCTCATCCAGACAAAACCTGAATCACACCCAGAGAATGATAGAGAAGATCGAGGAATTAGGGAGTACTGATATTTTATCTCTCTATTTTTTATATAGACACACACACACACACACACACACACACACACACACACACACACACATCTGATTAAACACTTTTTTTATATTATACATATATATGTGCTACATGTAAGTCATTCCAAAGAAATGTATAAAAATTATTAATGTTATTAATGATAGCAAAAATGAATAGACTTAATGTAAATATTTTTTTACTTTTTAATTAAATGTTAATATTAATTTTAAAATTTTTATTTAATTATTTTTATCTTTACATTTTAATTAAACACACACAAGGTACACACAGCTATTGATATTGGCAACCTTTAATTAGACTTTTCATCAATATCTTTGACATTTAATTACATTTATTGCTTCTCTCTCTTTGTTTGAGCTTGTTGCAGTTTTTTTGTGAAATATACATCTGATGCTGCCCAAGTATTAGCCAGCCTTTGCATCACAAGGACATTAAAACATAGGCGTCTGACTAGATTTGATAACAGACACTGTGGATGCAGACACATTAAGCTGCTGTTGTGTTTCTAAAGTGGCCTCTCAAATCTCAACAGCTTTTTCATCATACATTCTATAATTCAACCTGAATCATTATTCAATATGCTTGAGATTCCTAAGCAGAATGGATGAAGACTTTAATCAAGGCAAACCACCAACACAAACATGCCGCCTGGCTCTTCGTTATGTTGATTGCAGCCAGCACCTGGAGTCCTTAGTTTTAATTAGTATAAAGGAATGTTGGCAGTCACTCTTATTCCTTCTCTGTGTCCGATTGTTGAGGACCTTGTGGCGACTATGGTTTTTCTTTTGTTTTTCTTTTAGGAAGTTAGGAATACAGGGTGCGAACTACGGGGGAGCTAGGGTAGCCTGACGACGAGTAACTTTAACCGTTGTTCATGTGAACTCAATTCAATAGCCCTATTCGCACGGGATTAGTATTACCTGGTGACCTCCAGTCATTTGTAATAATTGCGTAGGTTGTCTGTGATCTTAATCCCGTGCGAATCGGCCATGTCTGTAATTTGTAAAGTAAAAATTCCCCCGCAAAAGACCTACCATATTTCGTCGAACACCGAGTAATTTCAAAAATCACACAAATTAGTTTCCGGGTAATTTCAAAATCACACAAGGTCCCCAAAATAATACTAATCCTGTGCGAATAGGGCTAAAGACAGCTTGATGCTTTGTTTATATACTATTTGGGTGTTTGTTGATTCACCTATCAATTCGTGTCGATAAAGTATAATAGGGTAAATCCTGTATAGTGATTTATCCTATATAGTGCTTGCATAAAGCGAGTTATGTATCTTTGTAAGTCATTGTAAGTCCTGTTTTGAGGGTTGCCTTTGAATGTCTAACCTATGGTTTAAATGAATCCTAATCACTTCTTCAAATAAACAGTACACAATTAAACCTGATCTATGGCTTGTATCACACTTTATAGTGTGCCTAAGAGACCAACTCTTTGTTGATCTTGCCCCCCCCCCCCCGTTATAAAAATAAAAGTGGGCTCCCCCAAAGTCCACGGTATAGTTCGAACACTGTAGGAATATAAAACATTGTAGGTTTGGTCTAAAATTTGGTCTTATGAATCATGTACTGTCTTGTACTATTATTATTATTATTATTATTGTTTAAGAAATTAGTACTTTCCTTCAGCAAGAACACATTAAATTGATCAAAAGTGGCAATAAAGACATTTATAATGTTACTAAAGATTTCACATAAATGCTGTTCTTTTGAACTTTCTATTAATCAAATCATCTCGAAATGTATTATGGTTTCCACAAAAATATTTGGCAGCTCAACTGATTTCAACATTGATAATAATCAGAAATGTTTCTGGAGCAGCAAATCAGCATATTAGAATGATTTCTGTAGATCATGTGACACTGAAGACTGGAGTAATGATGCTGAAAATACAGCTTTGATTACAGGAATAAATTACATTTGAACAGATATTCACATAGAAAACAGTTCTTTTACATTGTAATAATATTACACAATATTTGCTGTTTTTTTATTTCTGTATTTTTATCAAATAAATGAAGCCTTGGTGAGCAGAAGAGATTTTTCAACCACACCTTTTGAATGGTAGTATTTCTTCAGAAGACTTGGAATATAATAGACAATAAATAAAGAAAAGTCTTATGGAAAACTTTTTATTATTATTATTTATTAAATGTAATAAATATTGTTATTATTATTAGTAGTAGTAGTATTAGTATTAGTAGTAGTATTGTAATAATAATGATTATTTTTTTTATAATTATAATGACTTTTTATTACTTTTAATCACTTTTTAATTACTTAATTATTTGCGTTATGATCCTTTTGGAGTTTCAAGTTTGGTCACTATGAACTCTTATTATTGTATTTTTTCCACAATAAATAATAGCAGTGGTGTTCTGAAATGAGAAGTTTTTTTTTTTTTTTTTTAATCAAACGTAAATTCATGTTCCAGACAAATTTTCTTTGTTAAATATACATTACTTACACTATCAGAAAAAAATATTTAAAAAAAAAATATTTTTATATTTTTACATTGTAAAATGTAATCAATGTTCTATTTATTCTATTTTAAGCCAAGTATGAATCTCATCAAGTTAGTGTTTTTAAGCATTTTACATTCATTCCTAAACAATAACTCAAGGCAGTAACAATTTAAACAATATATTTTATTTGCAAACTTATTGGATGATCAGTCATCAAATCATTTGCAAACCCGGAAAGCGCAAGAACACAAGAGGCGGGATTTATTGAACCAATCACAGTAGAACATAAGCAGTCATATCCAATCATATCACGGTGGAGGCATTGCCTCCTCTCAAGTGACTTTCCCCCATTCATTGTCAATTACCCCCTACCAAAGCCACCGCACGCTTTAGGGCAGGGGTCACCAAACTGCAGAGTTTAGGACACCAGCACTCCAAGACTGAGTTTGGTGCTTTAGGGGGTCTGTTAAAACTCAATGGGCTCAGGGGCAGTAACAATTTAAACAATATATTTTATTTGCAAACTTATTGGATGATCAGTCATCAAATCATTTGCAAACCCGGAAAGCGCAAGAACACAAGAGGCGGGATTTATTGAACCAATCACAGTAGAACATAAGCAGTCATATCCAATCATATCACGGTGGAGGCATTGCCTCCTCTCAAGTGACTTTCCCCCATTCATTGTCAATTACCCCCTACCAAAGCCACCGCACGCTTTAGGGCAGGGGTCACCAAACTGCAGAGTTTAGGACACCAGCACTCCAAGACCGAGTTTGGTGCTTTAGGGGGTCTGTTAAAACTCAATGGGCTCAGGGGAGGCGAGAGAGACACGGACTCCCGCTGTAACTTTACCTGCTGGTGTCGCTGTTTTATACTACAATTTTTTTTCTCTCATCTAATATTTTGAGGAGACACTGCCTCCCTTGCCTCCTCAGAGGAAACGCCCCTGAGGTTCGTAACGACAGGAGGGGAGCAAATGATGACAGAATGTTAATTTTCGGGTGAACTGTCCCTTTAAGACCAGTGACACTCCAGTAGTTTCATTGGTATGTAAAGTCTTATCTTGGCTCCAACAACTGGAACTTCACACAGCAGCTCATGGATTCTGGCTCGTTCCAGAACAAATGCGTGGTATCGGCTGTGTAATTTGGGTTCTGTCTGCTCTCTTTGTATTGCTCTTCGTACAAGATACTGTATCAAGTGCCTCCATTTCACCATCTGCTCCTAATGCATCTGCATATGCTCGGAGATTTTAACACTGGCCAAAACACAGAAGCACATAACAGTGCAGAGATTAATATATAAAGGCTGGTCTATCATGCATAATTTAGCATACGCATGTGTTTCATAGCCATAAATTGAGGGCAGTACTAAAACTCGTGAT